AGGGGGCTGACAGCCACCCCCTAGTGTCCAGGAGGAAGGCGTGTCCCTGTTCCCTAGAGCACGTAGGTGGGTGGGTTTTGAAGCTGGACTATGAGCACCCAGTGCTGTTGGCTATAAGGACTGGGGGGAACCTCTTACTCTTGGGCACCTATCGCAGGTGGCTAGGTGGCGTGGGTGGATCCACCAGTCCTCAGGCCCCTGATGTAGGTAGGTGAAGACCCTGCTTAATGTACAGAGCAGTGTCAAATATCATGAACCTACTACTTCACAGCTGAAACAACTGAAGTTAGACTTCAGGTATATACCCTGTTGTACTGCAGTAATGAGGGCCTATGCTGTTGAGATGGGCCCACGCAAGTCTATGCAGAGGGAAAGGCACTCAGAGTCCATGGATCCTTTATGCCTGTGCCTAGGCAAAGGAGGTGTGCCTACTTTGGGTTCCTGGCTTAGGGGAGCCAGCAGTTTATTTTTCCCCTGGTTGTTAATTTGTTCACTCTCCAAGGTTGGCAGAATGGCTCAGGGTGTGTGATGGATCCTACTTCTGGCCCAGGGGACTCAGCAATTTCTGAAGCCAGTCCAGGACCCAGTGCAGAGCAGGGAGAGGGGAGGTAAATGGGGGAGAGATTTTTTCCCTAAGGGGAGTGTTTTTGATCCGCTTGGTAGGCCGGATGCAAGTACTTATCTTTCGCCAATCAAGGGCTGCCTCTCGCTGGTTCTGGGTGTCTGAGTAGACTCTCTGCTGCTAGGTCTCTCCCAGGGCAGAAAATGCACCTCCCAAGCACCGCTGCTTGCCTGCCTCACCACTCATCCGTGGGCTGATCAAGCCTGAAGGGCTCAGGCTGTAGCAGGTCAGTCTGGCAACGCCTCGCTGCTTCCGAACTGTCTCTCCCTCCCCCTGCCACTCAGTCCAGTTCCTCAACTTTGCCTTTGATGTTCAGGGCTCCTAAATTGTTATATATAATTGATTCGCTTTTTTTGGGGGGGGTCTTTGTTGTAAGAGGGGCCACCGGCAGCATCTGACTACTCTGCCATCTTGGCCCCACCTCTGGCACTGCTCTTTTTGAAGAGCCCTTTCATTTTAATTCCTTGTTACTAGGGTATGGAAGTCCCTGGATAGAGCAAACTGTTAGCAAACTTGGCTGCTAAGAGAAGGTAGAGGTTCAAGTCCACCCAGAGGCACCTTGGAACCAACTCCTGTCAATCTGCTGAAAAATCAGCCATTGAAAACCCTCTGGAGCACAGTTCTACTAGGACACACATGGGGTGGCCATGAGTCAGAATCAACTTTGTGGCAACTAGTTGGGGGACAGAAAATAGTGAAAAGAGTTCTTAAGTGTTAGGGGACACCTTTCACATGTATTTTTATCTGCTCCTCTCCACTAGACTCTGGAAACATCTTTATGTTACTCACTATCCCATGCCAACTTTCCTCAGCCTGGACTGGCACTGCTATTATTTTATGTCTTATGGTAGCAACAGGGTAGGCAGTGATTACCCAAGAAGTTGAAGGAAAAGTAATCCTACTGACTCCAAACCTTCTTCCACCATGACTGCTCTTTCCTCCCAACACAAAACCTAGAGGTGGCTCAAGAATTCCCTTCTTTTAAGCCATTTTATGATTTTAAGGTCTCCAACATAAGGGTAGAAAATTTTAAGTAAATGTTTTAATTGAAGTATAATATGGATAGAAAAATGCTAAAATCTTGATATGTATCTATACATTTTTAGAAAAACTTACACCAACAAGATAAAGCTATAGAATACTAGCTGCACCCCAGAAGCCTCCTACAGATCTTCTCTCATGTTACTCCATAGTTAACTATCCTTACTTCTATTGCCATGGATTCTATTTTCCTCTTTTAAAAATGTACGTAAATGCATACAATATGTATTCATGTGTGCCTGGCTTCTCTCACACATATTACGTTTGTAAGATTCATCATTCATTCTTATTGCTGTGTAATATTCCACTGTAGGGATATTCTAAAATGTATTAATCTATTCTGCTGTTAATGAGCATTTGGGTTGTTTCCAGCTTGGAATTAATATGAATTGTACTGCTGTGAACATACTTTTCCATATATATGGGTGATTTTCATGCTTTCTTATTGTGTGATATAGTATGTGCATGTCCAGCTTTAATAAATAATGTCAAACTATTTTCCCGTAAGTGGTGGTACCAATTTATATTTCCACTTACAGTAATATGGGAGTTCCAGTTTCTCCACATCTTTGCCAATAAGTGATGTAATTTATCTTTTTCATTTTAACCATTCTAGTTGATACATAGTAGTACTATCTCATAGGGGTTTGAATTTGCATTTCCCTGATGACTAATAAACTTGAGCACTTTGCTAGCTTTCTGGCCACTTAAATATCCTGTTTTGTGAAGTGCTGACTCAAGTGTCTTGTCTATTTTTTTTCTATTAGTTGTCTTTTATATATTAAAAAAAATTTATTTCAAAATCTTGGGGCTTTAGATAGCTTAAGGAGAATTTGACCTATTCTAGAACTATGCATTTGAAAACAGTGGCTACTCACCATGTGTGACTATTGAGTACTTGACATGTGGCTCATGCTATAAGTGTAAATACACGCTGGATTTCAAAGACTTCATAAGAAATTACTTTGGATACATTGGGTTAAAAACGTATTATTGAAATTAATTTTACCTGTTCTTTTTTACTTCTAAAAATTTTACTACTAGACCTTTTAAAATTGCGTAAATGGTTCACATTATATTTCTATTGGATGGCGCTGTTTTACAAAATCAGGGAAAGCTTCCCTGAGAAAGTAGCCTGCCTAGTTTTCTCCTGACTAGTGTGGGGGGAGGCTGCTGGTAGATTAATTCTGACTGAAAAAGAAAAACAATGCTAGGATTGTAACAAAAGCTCTTAAAAAAGATAGCTAATAAAAATAAGTGTCTGCAAACATGTTTAAAGATATATGGTCACTTCACTACAAGTTTTATGGTTCTAGATATCTTTTTAATTTTCAGCTTTATATTTACTTATTTCAGAGAAACCCTGTGATCTTCCTAGTGTAGAAAATGGAAGAATTGCCCAGTATTACTATACTTTTAAAAATCATTACTTTCCAATGGGCATAAACAAAAAAATGCCATTCTTCTGCTTGGCTGGTTATACAACTGAAACTGGGAAACAAGAAGAGCAAACCACATGTACAACAGAAGGCTGGTCTCCAGAACCAAGGTGTTTCAGTAAGTCAGCTGAATGTGTTGATGCAAAGTTTTCAGTACTCAATTTAATTTGTAAAAATGAGGACCTCATAAAATATGGGAAGTGGTTAAAACTTTTACATAGAAAAGGGCAAAATTGTTGTTATATTATCTTTCTACAAAATGAAGGCATATTCTACAATTCTATAAACAATGATTCCACATTAAAATTTTATTTTTCTTTATTTGTTTTAATAATAACCTGTGAAGAGAAGAAGAATTACAGAAATTGTTATTTATCACATTTTAAGAAACAGAGACTCAATTGAGTTACTTCAAGTAATAAAAAACTTTTTATAGGGAGCATTGTCCATACGAAATCAGAGAAATGCCTAAGACATTGATGTCAGGAAGTACAAGATCATTACTGTAGTGTTTAATCATTGTTAAGACTCATTTCTTCTTTGTGTACCTGCTTCTCTCATAGTATCCATGAAAAAACTTTTTTTTTTTTTCCTGAACTTGAGTGCAAATTTGTGAGAAGGGAATCAGATTGATTCATCTCATCATTTCATGTCAGATTTTGCTATAGGCCTATCAGTTGGCTTCTTGAGCTAAGAATTCCTCTCTTTTCCAGACTAAGGGGCTTTGGTTTAAGTCAGTTTCATATAGAAGACATTACTGTGACTGATGTATTTAGTAAACATACGATTTGGATAATCCATTCTATGATTTGAGGACAAAACATAAAAATAAAAAAGGCATTGCACTTTTAGTATTAACATAAACCAGAGATTAATTCCTATAAATAGATCTCATTCATCACCAGAGCATAAAAATAAGTTGAACATCTTAGGTTTGTTAAGTCTTTTAGCTTGGAGAAAAGAGCACTGATACAAGAGCTAGGAGAGGAGAACTCAAGTTTAGCAGTGGAGTGTAATATAAAACATAACCTCTGCAGTCAGATTGCCTGGATGTGAATTCAGCTTGACCACTAGGCTGTGACTTAAACTTTCTGAACTTAAATTTTTATCTATAAGGTGGGGTTGATACTTCTGCTTAAATGAGATAATTCTCATAGAGTGCATACCACCCAGTACATATAACTAAGCTAATCATAACCTTAGAGAAGTCCCTTAACCTTTCTGAACTGATTTGTTGTGAAGATCTAATAATGAATGGGACCTATAAAAAAATGATAGAGCTTCATACAATGCTAATATATTTTTTTGCTATTTAATACATCATTGTAACAATTATTTTTTTAAAAAAAGAACTCTATAAACTTACAGGCTTTGAGTTACATGTCTGTGATTCAAGCACAGTCTACATGGATTGGCTACCAAGTCTTACTGTGAAGCTAGGTGATTCTAAAATATTTGCTGAGAGAATAATTGAACAGTTTACACATTAACATAAGATGTTTGCAAAATAATTTCAGAGTCTATAAAATAGGTACATGCTTTTGCACCTGATGTTCAGAAGTATCACGGTAGGCTTAATATTAGGAAGTAAATCCAAAATAAATTATTTTGTTTGCTATTAATGACAATTGATTAAAGGAAGGGCCCTGAATATATTTTCTAAAGGTATATGTGATAGGTGGTAGGAATCACTATCAGAACTGAAATTTGTAAATATAAAGAAAGTCGATATCTTAGTCATCTAGTGCTGCTATAACAAATAAAATGGATGGTTTTAACAAACAGAAGTTTATTCTTTCACAGTCTAATAGGCTAGAAGTGCAAATTCAGGGCATCAGCTCCAGGGAAGGGCTTTCTCTGTCGGCTCTAGAGGAAGATCCTTGTCATCAATCTTCCCCTGGTCTAGGAGCTTCTCTGTGGAGGAACCTCTGATCCAAAGGACACGCTCTGCTACTGGCACTGCTTTCTTGGTAGTATGAGGTCCCCCAACTCTCAGCTCGCTTACCCTTTCCTTTTATCTCTTTTAAGATAAAAGGTGGTGCAGGCCACACCCCAAGGAAACTCCCTTTACATTGAATCAGGAATGTGACCTGAGCAAGGGTGTTACATCCCTCCCTAATCCTCTTCAGCATAATCCAATCTTGCCTTATTAACCACAGGCAGAGATTAGGATTTACAACATATAGGAAAGTTATATCAATCACAAAATGGAGGCCAACCACACAGTACTGGGAATCATGGCCTAACCAAGTTGACACATATTTTTGGGGGAAGCAATTCAATCAGTGACAGTCAATGTTAATCTGAATCCATTTTCAAAAAAATAGATTCAGGATATTTCCAAAATTAAATTAAATTAAGGAATTAAGAAGTGGAAATTCTCTTTTTCTCTTTTAAATTCCAACTAAAAGTAACATTATACTTTTAATTTTACAACTTAGTAAATGACAAGGCTAATTTGATTGAGTTAAACAAAGAAATACGTATTTTTTCCTTTAGAAAAATGCACCAAGCCTGACCTGAAAAATGGTTATGTGTCTGATGTAAAGATATTGTACAAATTTCAAGAGAACATGCGTTACGGTTGTGCTTCGGGATACAAAACCACTGGAGGGAAGGATGAAGAAGTGATTCAATGTCTCTCCAATGGATGGTCTTCTCAACCAACCTGTAGAAAGGAACATGGTATATGTTTAAGAATCATTTTCTAAAATTGAAGATGAGGGCTTGTGAGGCTCATATTTTATTTCGATAGGTATTTTATTTAATATAATTTATTTTTCATTATAACTGCAAAAGCAAGAAGTTACTATTATATTGTTACTCTCAAATGCTAGGTGTTTTCCTTGATCTAGTGGTTCTCAACCCCTACAACATACCCACGCCAGCAATTTTCACTTTATATTAATAAAAAGGAATTGCAGGGGAATAAAATGAAAGTGTCTTAATAAACCTGTTTCTTGCTTCGTATATAAATTACTATTACCTTTATTAGAGAAATTGAGCTCATGCACATTATTTTATGTTGTAAACCAATGCTGTTGTTGTTATTGTTAGGTGCAGTTGAGTTGATTTGCAATTCATATTGACCCCATGTGACAGAGTAGAACTGCCCCATAGGTTTTCCTAGGCTGTAATATTATGGGAGCAGATTGCCAGGTTTTTCTTCCTCAGAGCCTCTGTGTGGGTTTGAACTGTCAACCTTTTGGTTAGCATTTGAACACTTAATCATTATACCACCAGGGCTCCTTAAACCAATGTTAAATATACTTAAAATAACACAATAATTTGAATACACATACCTTCTTAGTATGTTGCAAGCTATTTACATTGTACAAATCCACAGGTGGTATATAAGAAAATAATTGTTACTGCATGAGCCTTCCTTTGAGCGGTGGCCTTTTGTCAAGTATAGACAACTAGAATGTTAAGAGGAGAAGACTGGTGGAGTTGAGCTACTAGATGTAGGAACAAAAGAGGGAAGAGAGAGGAAGAGGTAAACTTTGACTATTTGCAATTATGCTGAGGATTGACTGCTGTATAATCTTAAGGTTCCATGAAAATGTATTTTGAGATTTCTTTTTTAATAGTCTAGGTTTAGAAACAAGATTTGTCAAATAAATAACTTTAATTTTTTTTAGACACATGTTTGGCCCCTGAATTACATCATGGAAATTATTCTACAACACAGAAAACATTCAAAGTGAGCGATAAAGTGCAATATGAATGTGCTACTGGCTACTACACAGCTGGAGGAAAGAAGATAGAGGAGGCAGAATGTCACACATATGGATGGTCTCTCACACCAAAATGTACCAGTAGGTTCTCCTTTTGAATGCAATCTACTTTCACTTTGAAAACGTCCTCTCATACAGAAGTGTTTAACAGTTGTCATGTTCATTATGTTCCAGTTTTCATATATTTATACATATGTACATATTTTGCTTCTGGTTTTAATTATTGATTATAGTAGCCCCCTTTGATCATTTAAAATTCCTTTCAGCTCACATAATTAGATTAAAATAAGCTGATTATATTTAATAAATATATACATATATATAATTAATTCATATGCTTTTTATTATTTCAAACAGATTATGGAAAATGTATTAATTTCCATTCCAGATACAGCAAGTAAGTAGTAAGTGAATTTTTTTCTAGCAGGAAAAATTAAAATTTTTGGTGTTTTTATTTATTCTTTCATTTTCAGAATTAAAGTGCTCTTCTTTAAGATTAATAGAAAATGGTTATTTTCATCCTGTAAAGCAAACCTATGAAGAAGGAGATGTAGTTCAGTTTTTTTGTCATGAAAATTATTATCTAAGTGGATCGGATTTAATCCAGTGCTATAATTTTGGTTGGTACCCAGAATCTCCTGTATGTGAAGGTAATTATTATTATTATTTTTTATTTCACACTCATAAAACTAATCAACTTTAATCTCTATGAGCTCAAGAAAAAATGCCTTTAGTAATATCTAATTCTTGTCCTAGGTGCTATTTCTTTTCATTAATAAATCAATGTTGTTTTCAGCAATCTTTAATATATTTCATCTGAAGAAATCTTGTTTGATATTAGTTTACAGAGTAGATGTATCTTTAACTTATTATATTTTTAATCCCTTATTATAATAATGAATAGCTTTCCTTATTGGAAATGACTGAGTCCAGTGCACCCTAACTTTGGGAGGACGTTTTCTCAAGTGACCACAGTTTTCCAGATGTGAAAATACAGTCTCCAAAATAGTGGGGTTGAGATCAGAAAGAACAGCAGGGTATTACCCAGAAATGAAAATGAAAAACCAGGTCATCTGTTAAATGCAGTTCAAAAACATAATGGCTATTATTAAGTTCTATCACTAGATGTGTTCAGACAGGTAGCTTGATTACCTGTCTGAAAGATACCAATTCCATAGTCATTTACACACACATACAATGTGATATGAAGGACCTCCTGGGCTAGCTGAGGAAATAAATATGAAAAGAAATACTTAATACAATGTGACAGATGCCTAAAGTCAGGTACAAAGTGCTTGAAAAAACATTAGACGTTCTGCTTAGTAGGGTGTGGGGTAGCATTCACAGAGGTGATGGATGATATTTGAACTGGGCCTTAAAAAATAAATGAGTGCTGGGAAAAAGAAAGGACTTGAAAGCCTCTATTTTGTCTATAACATAGGAAACAAAGTCATTAGCAGACAGGAGCAAGAGGTGAAGTAAAACTTAGAAGAGAGATGGCCCAGATGGCTTCACTGGAGAATTCTACAAAACATTCACAGAAGAGCTTACACCAGTGCTACTCAAATTATTTCAGAACATAGAAAAGGTAGGGAAACTTCCAAATTCATTCTATGAAGCCAGCATAACCATGATACCAAAACCAGGCAAAGATGCCACAAAAAAAAGAATGTTACAGACCAATATCGCTCATGAATATAGATGCAAAAATTCTCAACAAAATTCTAGCCAATAAAATTCAGCATCATATCAGAAAAATGATACATCACAACGTAGGATTCATACCAGGTATGCAAGGATGGTTCAACATTAGAAAATCAATCAACTTAAACCACCACATAAGAAAAGAAAAGACTCACATGATCATCTCAATCGACACAGAAAAGGCATTCAATAAAGTCCAACACAAACTCCTGATAAAAACTCTCAATAAAATAGGTATAGAAAGGAAATTCCTAAACATGATAAAGGGCATCTATGCAAAACCAACAGTCAACATCATTCTTAATGGAGAGACTGAAAACATTCCCCTTAAGAACAGGAACAAGACAAGGATGTCCTTTATCACCACTCCTACTTAACATTGTGCTGGAAGTCCTAGCTATAGCAATAAGGGAAGAAAAAGAAATAAAAGGCATCCAAATTGGTAATGAAGAAGTAAAACTGTCCCTATCTGCAGATGATATGATACTATATATAGAAAACCCAAAAGACTCCACAAGAAAACTACTGGAACTAATAGAAAGATTCAGCGCAGTAGCAGGATATAAGATAAACATACAAGAATAAGTTGGATTCCTATACATCAACAAAGAGAATGATGAAAAAGAAATCAGGAAAGCAATACCATTTATAATAGCCCCTAAAAAAAAAATACTAAGGAATAAATCTAGGGATGTAAAAAACCTATACAAAGAAAACTACAAAACACTACTGCCAGAAATCAAACCAGAGCTACCTAAATGGAAAAACGTACCATGCTCGTGGATAGGCAGACTCACCATTGTGAAAATGACAATTCAACCCAAAGCAATCTACAAATACAATGCAACCCTGATCCACATAAAAACAACATTCTTTAAAGATATGGAAAAAACGATCATTAACTTTATATGGAAAGAGAAGAGGCCCGGGATAAGTAAAGCACTATTGAAGAAAAAGAATGAAGTAGGAAGACTCACACTACCTGACCTCAGAATCTACTATACAGCTACGGTGGTCAAAACAGCCTGGTACTGGTACAACGACAGATACATTGGCCAATGGAACAGAATTGAGAACCCAGATGTACATCCATCCACTTACTGTCACCTGATCTTTGACAAGGGCCCAAAGTCGATCAAATGGGGAAAAGACAGTCTTTTTAACAAATGGTGCTGGCAAAACTGGATGTCCACCTGCAAAACGAGGAAAACAGGACCATACCTCACACCATACACAAAAACTAATTCAAAATGGATCAAAGATCTAAATATAAAACCGAAAACTATAAAGATCATGGAAGAAAAAATAGGATCAATGCTAGAGACCCTAATACACGGCATTAACAGGATACAAACCATAACTAATGAGATACAAACTCCAGAAGATAAGTCAGGTAACTGGGCTCTTCTAAAAATTAAACACTTATGTTCATCCAAAAACTCACCAAAAGAGTACAAAGAGAAACTACAGACTAGAAAAAAATTTTGACTATTACGCATCCAACAAAGTTCTAATCTCTAAAATCTACAGGAAAGTCCAACACCTCTATAACAAAAAGACAAATAATCCAATTAAAAAATGTGCAAAGGAAATGAACAGCCACTTCACCAAAGAAAATATTCAAGCCGCCAACAGACACATGAGGAAATGCTTGCAATCACTAGCCATTGGAGAAATACAAATCAAAACCACAATGAGATACCATCTCACCCCGGCATTTCTGACACGAATCAAAAACACTGGAAATAACAAATGTTGGAGAGCCTACGGGGAGATCGGAACTCTTATGCACTGCTGGTGGGAATGCAAAATCGTACAACCATTTTGGAAAATGATATGGCGCTTCCTTAGAAAGCTAGAAATAGAAATATTATATGATCCAGGAATTCCACTCCTAGCAATATATCCTAGAAAAATAAGAGCCATCACACGAATAGACATATGCACACCCATGTTCACTGCAGCATTGTTTACAATAACAAAAAGGTGCAAAAAACCTAGACGCCCATCAACAGATGGATGGATAAGCAAACTATGGTACATACACACAATGGAATGCTACTCAATGGTAAAGAACAATGATGAATCTGTGAAGCATCTCACAACATGGATGAATCTGGAGGGAATTTTGTTGAGTGAAATAAGTCAATTACAAAAGGACAAATATTGTATGAAACCACTACTATAAAAATTCATGAAAAGGTTTACACACAAAAAGAAACAATCTTTGATGGTTACTAGGCAGGGGAGGAGTGGGGATGGAAAAACACTAAATAGAAAATAGATAAGTGGTAACTTTGGTGAAGGGTAAGACAGTACACAATACTGGGGAAGCCAGCAAAATTTGTTCAGGGTAAGGTCATGAAAGCTCCATGGACACATCCAGACTCCCTTAGGGACCAAATTACTAGGCTGAGGGCTATGGGGACCATTATCTCAGGGAACATCCAGCTCAATTGGCATACCATAGTTTATAAAGAAAATGTCTACATTCTACTTTGGTGAGTAGCATCTGGGGTTTAAAAGCCTGTGAGTGACCATCTAAGATACTCCACTCATCTCACCCCTTCAGGAGCGAGGGAGAATGAAGAAAATTAAAGAAACAAGGGAAAGATTAGTTCAAAGGAATAACTGACCACAACTACAATGGCCTCTACCAGACTGAGTCCGGTACAAGTAGGTGGTTCCCAGCTACCGCCACTGACTGCTCTGACAGGGATCACAATAGAGTTTCCTGGACAGAGCTGGAGAAAAACGTAGAACAAAATTCTAACTCAGAAAAAGACCAGACTTACTGGCCTGACACAGACTGGAAAAACCCTGAGAGTATGGTCCCTGGACACCCTTTTAACCCAGTAATGAAGTCGCTGCAGAGGTTCACCTTTTAGCCAAAGATTAGACAGATCCATAGGACAAAGTGAGACTAAAGGGGCACACAAGCCAAGGGGCAAGGACTAGAAGGCGAGAGAGGATAGGAAAACTGGTAATAGGGAACCCAAGGTTGAGAAGGGAGAGTACTGACATGTCATGGGGTTGTTAACCAATGTTATAAAACAATATATGTACTAACTTTTTAATGGGAAGTTAGTTTGTTGTGTAAACCTTCATCTAAAGTACAAAAAAAGAAAAACCTTAGAAGAGAGAAGTGAAGATTTGCAATAGGTGCTGGGAGGAATGAAAGTGGGAATTGATCAGAGACATGCAATAGAATTTCCCTTACTTATCATGATCCTATGAATGTATTAAACAGTAATTGTAATGGTTTTATGATTTTTCAGTCATGCTCAACAACCTTATTGCAGTCAAGAGGCAGATTGTTTGCAAGTTATCTATAGTACGTTGTTTCAAAAATAAATGGTAGATCTCCTTAAGGGCTACTCACCACCCCTGTTAAGTTGTTGTTAGGTGCCGTCAAGTCAATTTTCGATTCACACTGACCCCATGTGACACAGGAGAACTTCCCCATAGCGGTTTCTAGGCCATAATTTTAGGAGAGCAGATCTCCAGGTCTTTCTCCCACAGAGCTGCTGGGTGGGTTTAAACCTCCAACTTTTTGGTTAACAGTCAAGTGCTTAAACACTGTGCAACCACCCCTAACCACTCAAAATTGGGCTACATGCCTACTATTCTCTATAGCAAATAACCATATTTACTATAAATAGTAAATAGTAGGATAGACAGTGTGGTAGGCTGACTAATGCCCTTTCCTCCCAAAAAGATGTCCACATTTTAATACCTGGAACCCTTGAATGTTATCATATATGGCAAAAGGAACTCAGCAGGTGTGATTAAATTAAGGATCTTGAGATGGGGAGATTATCCTGGGTTATCTGGGTGGGCCATAAAGGTAATCTCAAGTGTCCTTATAAGAAGGAGGCAGAGGAGACTTGACTGCAGAAAAGGAATAGAACATGCAACAATGGAAGCAAGAGTTTGGGGTGATACAAGTCAGAGATCATGGTCTGAGGATTACAAGCAGACTCCAGAATCTACGAGGGGCAGGGAAATTAATTCTCCAGTAAAGCCCCCAGAAGAAATGCAGCCTTTCTAACACTGACTTCAACCTAGTGAAACTGGTTTTGGACTTCTGGCCTCCAGAACTATAAGCAAATAAAGTTGTATTGTTTTAAGCCACTAAATTGTGGTAATTTGTCATAGCTGCAATAAGAAACTAACACAGGACATATTTTAGAATAAATAGTTAAGAACAGGAGATTTGAATTCAAATAGACATGGGTTCAAGAACAAATCCACCACTTACTAATAATTTGCTTACTTCTTAAATTTTAGTTTATCTGTAATATATAGCAGAAATAATAGTCTTTACTTTATAAAGTAATTCTAGGACTAAAGGAGATAATGAATGGTATGTATAATGCTTGTTATTTTGATTTTCTATTGCTGCATAACAATGTTACCACAAATTTAGCAGCTTAAAACAACACACGTTTAGTATTTCACGGTTTATGTGAGTCAGGAGTCTGGACACAACCGCCCTGACAGGGAACAAAATGGAGAGTCCCTGATGGAGCAGGAGAAAGGTGGGGTGCAGAACTCAAATTCTAGTAAAACAGACCAGACTTAATGGTCTGACTGTGACTGGAGGAACCCTGGAAAGCACGGCCTCTGGATTCTCTATCAGCCCAGAACTAAAACAATTTCCGAGGCCAGCTCTTCAGACAAAGATTGGACTGGACTGTGGGACATAAAATGATACTCATGAAGAGTGTGCTTCTTAGCTCAAGTAGACACATGAGACTAAATGGGCAGCTCCTGTCCAGAGGTGAGATGAGAAGGCAAGAGAGTTAGGAGCTGGTTGAATGGACATGGGAAATCAGGGGTGGAAAGGAGGATTGTGCTGTCACAGAATAAGGAGAGCAATTAGGGTCACATAACAATGTATGTATACATTTTTGTATCAGAGACTAACTTGAAACGTAAACTTTCACTTAAACTACAACAATAAACAAACAAAAAAGAGTCTGGACACAGATTAGCTGGGTCCTCTGTTTCAGGGTCTAACAGAGTTGCTATCCACGTGTCAGCCGGGGCTGCAGTCTCCTCTGAGGCTTGACTGGGAAAGGGCCTGCTTCCAAATACATTGTCACTGTCAGCAGCATTCAGTGCTTTGCAGGCTGCGGGACTGAGGACCTCAATTTCTTGCTAAATGTCAGCTGGAGGCATCTCCATTTGGCAGCTCAAAATGTGGCAGTTTGTGTCTTCGCAACCAGCATGGTAGACAGTGGGAGAGTCTTTCAGCAAGATCAGGACTACAATACTATGTAACACAATCATGTATACATAATTATATACATAATATTGTAACACTGGTCTTGCTGTATTCTATTATTTAGAAGCAAGTCCCTCAAGAGAAGGGCTATCACACAAAGGAGAGAACACTAGGAGGTGGGATCATGGGGCCCTTGCTAGCGTCTGTCTAACATACTCATTATGGTACTTGACACATTGAAAGTGCTTATTAAATTTTAACTATCATTGTTATATTTATTATGACTAAAAATGCAAAGTCTTTTTCTTAAGGAAGAAGAAATAGATGTCCTCCTCCACCTTTGCCTCTAAATTCCAAAATTCAAACTTATTCAACAACATATCGTCATGGAGAAGTTGTTCATATAGAATGTGAACTTAATTTTGAGATCCAGGGGTTGGAAGAAATACGTTGTGAAAATGGAAAATGGACAGAGCCCCCAAAATGCATTGGTTAGTAACACTTCGAGTAAAATTTTCCCAAAACAAAATCTGTATGTGCAAGTAAATGGTCTCTGCTCTCTAAATTATACCTTTTCAGAACGGAAGGAGAAGATCGCCTGTGAGGAACCACCCCTAATAAAGAATGGTGCGGCGAACCTACACTCTCGAATTTATTACCATGGGGATAAAGTGACATATAGATGTGCAAATGGCTACTATATGCATGGATCAAATGAGATAACTTGTAAACATGGAAAATGGACACTTCCCCCTGAGTGTGTTGGTATGTATGCTATATTTAACATCAATATCTAAGCTTATTGTGTAAAAATTTTCCATTCTGTCTATTTAATCCACATAATTATAGCAAGAGGAAACTGCTTGAAATATTAGAAACAAATTAATATTTCATCTACTCTGCTACTTTTTTTTTTTATATGGAGGCATCTGTAGAATTATAGCCAACCAAAAGGTTGGAGGTTTGAGTCCACCCAGAGGCACCTTGGAAGAAAGTCCTGGCAATCTACTTCCAAAAAAATCAGCCATTAAAAACCCTGTGGAGCACAGTTCTACTCTGACACACATGAGGTCACCATGAGTCAGATTGAAATCAATAGCAACAGGTTTTTTTTTTAAAGAAATGGGAAACTAAACATTTTTGAATGCATATTAGTGGTAGGCACTGTCATGTGACCTGTTTGACTCCAATACCTATGAGTTTTCAATGACAGCACAAAAGTGATGATATGCTTCATCTCTAAACAAAATAAGGGCATGTTGGATTGGGCGACTGGCTATGGGCATGTCCTACAGTGTTAGGATAGAGTTCTCTGTTCCTGACTTTTGGTCAGTTTTGCTGATATTACTTTAGCCACGCTGAACCTATTACCTTTCTAAGACATGTCCCTGGTCTTCCATTTCACTGAAGGATACCAGCAGGCAACACTGTCACTCCTAGGTGCTACCCTTCCTGTCATCCTTCTCTTTTCTTGATCAGATCCTGCAGAGATATTCACAAACACATTTACCAAGGATATTTATTGCATAAAGCAAATGATAATACAGATGCTAAAGAAATAATATTAGCAGAGTAAAAGAGAGACTCTAAAGAGAGGAAAAAAATAGAAATTTCATCCATGAGTTGACTGAGAAAATTCCTCTAGGATGGGAATGAGAAGGAAAAATAAAAGTGGATAATGGCATAGGACAGTTTTAGAACTGACTGTAATCATTAGATTAAGCAGTGTTTCCCTTTCTACACGTTTTAAGAATTTTGTATCGTAGTTTCTTCATATCAAGACAAGTGAAAAAAATGCATACTTGTTCTTAGGCTAAACATTTGCTGTTTATTCTTGCTTAGTAAATTTTTGAGATATTTGTGCTGCATCACATTTCTCTCATTTCTGATGAATTTATGAGTCAATTGTCCTAAATGATATAGTTCAAGTATTGAGGAGTCTTGGGTGAAAATGGTTAAGCACTCAACTACTAACTGGAAGGTTGGCATTTCAAACCCACCCAGAAGTAGGTGCCTTGGAAGAAAGGCCTGGTGATCTGCTTCTGAAAGATCACAGCCTCGAAAACCCTATGGAGCACAGTTCTAGTCTGTGGGGTCTCCAAAGGTCAGATTCAAAAGCAACTTTTTTTTTGTTTTTTTTGTTTGTTTTGTACTATGGGTAACCATATTATGTTATTATGTAGTTATGAGTTCATATTAATTGTAAAATAAACTCTTTTCTTAGAAAACAACAAGAACTGTAAGCCTCCACCTGATCTAATAAACGGGGCTATTGTTGATGGGTTATTGACAAGCTACACAACAGGATCGTCAGTGCAATATAGGTGCAATGAGTATTATTTATTGAAAGGATCAAAGACATCTCATTGTGAACAAGGAAAATGGACATCTCCACCTGTCTGCTTAGGTAAGATAGAGAACACTCTGAATTCCTTTTACAATTACATTTATATTTCATGTGATTTTCTCATAACGTTTTACAGCATAGAAATGATTATTTGTATAAATGTTTTCAAGTGCCTCCCTTCCCCCTCAATTCTTTAAGCAGAAAATTCCTAGTATCTTAGGGTCTAGGACTCCATTAATTCTTTCCTCATTGCTTTTTGTGTTGTGTTTCTCCTAACTGAAATTTCCCTATTTCCCTTAATGTCTCTGCTTCTGTTGTCCTCAGAATACATTTGAAGAGAAGAATAATCAACGCAATTCTTTCCTTGGTAGAGAATATTGGTAATTGCTCCTTTGCTACAACTTCCTCGTCTGAATGATCATTTTTGTTAAGTCACCTCGATTATATAAATGTATGTTTGTAAACTACCCTGAATGTATTTTGGAATAAAGCATGATACAAAATTTCATGTTTCAAGTGGAGAATTGAAGCAGTTATCAAAATAATTATTTAAATTATGACAACACTGAGAAAATAATATATACCTCTCAAATAATATTTGCCTCAGTTTTTAGCTTTGCTAGCCAGAGTTATGTTTAAAAGCCTTTAATCTGCCCTGGTTGCTACAGATGGTTGCACATGTTACATTGAGACTTTTACAAATAGGCAATGACATGATAAATGTCCTGTAAGTTAAAATAACCATTTAATTTAAAGTACTAGCATTTTAAAATTACAAAAGCAAATCATTGTTATTTACCAAAAAAAAAAGAAAGTAAATAAACAGAAGCAAGTAAAAGAAAATGGAAAACATTGGTAACCTTCCTTGAAACAATTGTTAACTTAGACAATGATCTTCTAAACATTTTACTTAGTATATATACAACAAAAATGCAATTTATGTAAATTGCACTTTTTTGATTTAAAAATATATTGTGAGCATTGTTTAATATACTTTTGCAATATCCTTTTCAATGGCTGCATAGTATTCCATAGTGCAGATGTGCCATAATTAATTTAACTAATCACTTTACTGATGAATGTTTAGTTTTTTCAACATTTTCATATTCCAAACAACACATTTTTAAACAAAATATTTGTACATTTTTAAAAACTTTATTTTTTAGTTAAACACTAATTATATTTATTTTGTGAATGTTTTGTTGTTATTTTTCAAATTTTCTAAAGTGGAATTTCTGAACCAAAAATAGTTGGAATTTTGTTTTTCCTTTAATTATGAAATTGCCCTTCAAAAATTTATTCTGAGTTATACCCCTCTCATTACTAACTAAATGAAGCACGTTTCTTAATCTTTTTGTGAACTTTGCGTTTTTTAATCTTTATATTTTTTGTTAATCCAGTGGGCAAAATAATTTTAATTTGTTTTATTTAATTATTAATGAATTGGACATTTTTATATTTTCAATGGCCACAGGATTTTCTTTTCATGAATTGGCTGTTCAATTTCATCATTTTTCCATATTGATTATAAGAGCTATATCTATATAAATTATATTACCCATATATGATAATCATATACATTGGAAATATGTTTTTTTATCTTCCTTTTATTTATGGCCATTTTTAATATTCAGAAAATTTATTTTTTAAGTCTTGAGCTCTTTTAACCTTTTCTTTTGTGGTTTCTCCTTTTAAATTATTCTTAGGAGGCTGTTATTCAAAATCAGATACATCTTCCTCTCTATATAGTTTTTTTTCTATTGTTCATATGTTTTCATAAGGGTTTTTGATATTAAGTATCTGTTGATATGATTAATACCACATTGAATGGAAGTATAGTCATCTCTGAGAGTGGAAACTGGGTTGAAACAGTAATGGAAAAACCAGTAATAGAACAACTACATAAGAAAAACAAGATTTAAAGAAATCTATTATTGTATATCTGGAAAAATTGCTTCAAGAAATTTAGGCTTGGTGCTAATAAATCACAGCAAATATTGAGTGAAGATCATTTTATTGTCATCATGGCAAGAGGAGAGAGCTTTTGTACATCTCATTTGTCCTTTGTGATTGAAAGTACTATCACTTCAAATGTTCAGAACATTGTGATGAGAGGTAGAATCTTCTATCTGTGAAGGATTCTTGCAGACATTATGAACCTCTCTAAACTCCCCCTACTGTTCTTTCCTGCTCTCCCTCTTCTCCAGCCACTCTGACCTCCTTACCTTGTTCAACAAGCCAAGCATGCTCTCACCTCATGGCCTTTGCATTGGTTGTTTCTTCTGCCTGAAATGCTTTTCCCTCAGAAAACAACATTGCTCACTCCCTGCCCTTTTTCAAATCTGTGCAAACTGTCACTTCTTATTTAGGCATGCCCCAACACCTTACTTAAAAGTGCAATCACCCTTCCTCTAGCCCTTCTGAGAGCACCTCCCCTTCACTTTTCTTTTCCCCATCTATTTTATCATCTGTTGTACAGGTAGACACATATTCTAACGTAGTATAAAATTCATACATTTATTATATGTATTCCTTATTTCATGTGTTTCTCCCAGTTAGAAGATAAGCTCCATGAGGACAGAGATCTTTGTTTTGTATATTGTATAGCAAGTGACTAGAACACTACCTGGTAGAGTATATACAATGAATATACTCTATATTTCAAGATTTTTATGTTATAGAAAGCAAATCATAATTAACACAATTGGTTGATGGCCTTAAACTATAATTTTAATATTTCTAATTAAGTGGTTTTAATTTATGATATATTCAAGGTCCCTGAGTGGTGTAAGCATTTTACAATCAGCTGCTAACCTAAAGATTGGCAGTTCGAATTTGCCCAGTGGCACACAGAAAAAATGCTTGGCAATCTACTTCTGTGAAGATTATAGCCAAAAAAACCCTATGGGGCAGCTCTACTATGTCAGACATGGGGCCACCATGAGTCAGAATCGACTCAATGGCAATGGGTTTGGTTTATAGACAATAAATAATGTATATATTCATTTGATAGTAAGAAAGTGTATACTTTATTACTTATATGTGTATGAGGAGCTTTAATAATGATAAATGCCAACAACTATAAAATATTGTTTTTGATGGCTGTCATAATTTTTATTTTTATATGACTTGTATGTTTGTCAGATGAGTGAAGACTTTAAAAAGTATTTTGTCTTTCAGAGCCATGTACTGTAAATGAGGATTACATGAACAGAAATAACATAGAGATGAAGTGGAAATATGAAGGAAAGGTCTTACATGGAGATTTAATAGATTTTATATGTAAGCAGGGATATGACTTATCTCCATCCACCCCACTGTCTGATTTATCTGTGCAGTGTAATAGAGGAGAAGTGAAATATCCTTTATGCATTAAAAAAGGTAAAGCAATAATGTTTTCTGACAATTCCTTACTTATCATTAACTCCCAGCTGAGTTGAAAGTGTAAGACCATTAGCAATTCACTACCATCATCTTCTAACCTATAACAAGGACAATCATTAAATCAGTATCCAGTCAGCATATGCGCTTGAATAGGATGACTACCTAAGCCACCTTTTAATTCTAAAAGCCAATTTTATGAAGGGAAAACAATCAAGAAGTTTTATAAATATCACTAGACTGTCAAACATTTGATCACCCCTGAAGAAAAGCCACAGAAAAAAATTGCTTTCCTCAGAAATTCCTAGGGAGCATTGTCTCAGAAAAGGGCTGATGCAGAGTTGGAGAGTCTGGTGTGGAAGGGTGGAGAGGCCTGCTTTACTCTCTAGGCAGAGTTGCATACTCCTTGGACACTGGAACAATTACTTTTTTTTTAAAAGAAGAAAGGAAGTGAATACCTCCAGAAAGTATGGTTTAAAGGAGTGTCTCATACACTTGCACTCTTGGCAAGATAGAAAGGGAACAATAAAATTCATGATTATCAATACTTTGATAGTTTAATTTTTTGAAAGATTATAATCTGAGATTCTAATTGTAATAATACATTTTATAGTATGAAATTATTTCAGAAATGCTTGAAATCATCCAAAAAATATTTGAGAAGTGCCTTAAAAATGCTGTTACCTAAATGATCTCATTTTATTTCTGTAGCAATTATAAAAGCACTGGATGCTTGTTATAGCAATTCATTTTATACTTTAACAATTATTTTTTCAGAATATAAACGAATGTGTGCAGCTCCTCCACTTATTAAAAATGGTGTCATTATTAGCTCTGTAACTGGCACCTACGAAAATGGTTCCTCAATAGAGTACAGATGTTTTGATCACCATTTCCTACAAGGATCTCGGGATATCTATTGTTTAGAGGGAGTGTGGACTACACCGCCATCATGTTTAGGTATGTACTATTAAATATTTAACAAAAGAAAACTGTATATTATTTTCACTTTCTGCCCTTCGAATTGGTATAACAATAATATAATTCTTAATTTGTTGTTTTTGTATTATTTTATTGTTGTTCCTGTTTAATCACTCGTTTCTACACTTTCCACTAAATCATAGATAACTGCAGTCTCATTCACTCTAACAAATATTTGTGAAGTGCAAATCTTATGTCAGGTACCAGTTTGGAATGGGCTACAAGATAAATAAGCCATAGTGTTGTGGGCCAACATGTAAACAATTATCATTCAGTGTGATTAGACCAAAAACCAAACCCTTTGCCGTTGAGTTGATTCCAACTCATAGCGACCCTATAGGACAGAGAACTGCCCCATAGAGTTTCTAAGGAGTGCCTGGTGGATTCTAACTGCTGACCTTTTGGTTAACAGACGTAGCTCTTAACCGCTACACCACCAGGGTTTCCCCAGTGTGACTGGCACTATGGAAAATTTTTAGCTTGAGATGATGTCGTCTTCTTCCAGAGAATACTCATCCAATCCACTCATTGACAGCTAGTGTAGGGGACTCTTGTTATTAATTACCATTGAGTCAACTCCAACTCATGGCGACCCCCATGTGTGCAGAGTAGAACTGCACTCCATAGGGTTTTCGAAACTGTGACGTTTCAGAAGCAGATTGCCAGGCCCTAGTGCTGAGGTGCCTCTGGGTGGGTTTGAACTGCCAGCCTTTTGGTTAGTAAACAGCGCTTAATCATTTGCACCACCAATTAGGGGCAGATGGTCTCAATCCGATTAGAGACTAAATTTAAGCTTGTTTTAGACTCTTGTTTACCCTTACTAATAGAATGTAGCTTTCCAGGGTCCTCTACTGAGAGTTTGCTCTTATACCAAGGCTCCTCCTAGTTGACTGGCTCTGATATTACTGGGAGTCTGCAAAAAGCACTGTGTAGCTTTTCATTCACTTTCTGCATGGCTCCTTATCCTCTCCCTTTGCACAGGTTGAGAGTAGGCAAATGTCTCAAAGGAAAAACCACGGTAAGAGTATCAGGTTATTTCTCTACACCTCCTCCCTTCCCTTATGTTCTTGGCCCCTCAAGTCCTGCCTGCGTTGGCAGACCCAAACACTCATTTTTGTATCCTCAACTCTGTGAGACTTCCAAAAGCACTGCTGGCTCCCTGCCTATTTTTGGCCATTCTCTACCTAGTTTCTAAGCTCATGCTAAGAAACAAAAAATATACCAAAAGGAAATGGCACATAGAATGAGCTTTGTCCAGAACCTTAGTTCCTTAAGTGCTGGCTATTTTTGAAGTTCTCTGATGCTTTGAAATACTTATTTTTTGTATGTTTTCCAAATTCTCTAGTTCATGGTAGGAGCGCTGGTTTGCTAGAAGATACTCTGTTACACTTGAAAGAAGAAGGTCCATGAGTCGATTTTTTAAAGACTTATCTTAATTAAATTTTCAGTGAAAAAAGTATTTGCAATGACTAAGTCATTGGTCTTGCAAAATTCTATCATGTGATTTCTGGCATCGTTTCTATCACCAAGGCCATATTTTCCAACTACTGATCCTTCTTCAATGTTTCCAACTTTCGCATTCCAATCCCCAGTAATTATCAATGCATCCTGATTGCATGTTTGATCAGTTTCATACTGCAGAAGTTGGTAAACATCTTCAATTTCTTCATCTTTTAGTTGGTGCATAAATTTGAATAATAGTCATATTGACTGGTCTTCCTTGTAGGAGAATGGATATTATCCTATCACTGACAGTGTTGTACTTCAGGATAGATCTTGAAATGCTCTTTTTGACAATGAATGCTATGCCATTTCTCTTCAATTTGTCATTTCCAGCATAGTAGGCTGTATGATTGTCTGATTCAAAATGGCCAATACAAATCTATTTTAGCTCACTAATGCCTGTATCGATCTTTGTGAGTTCCGTTTCATTTTTGACAACTTCCACTTTTCCTAGATTCATACTTCGTACATTCCACATTCTGATTATTAATGGATGTTTGCAGCTATTTCTTATCATTTTGAGTCATGCTACCTCAGCAAATGAAGGTCCCCACAGCTTTACTCCATCCACATAATTAAGATCACTCTACTTTGAGGAGGCAGCTCTTCCTCAGTTGTATTTTGAGTGCCTTCCAACCTGAGGGGCTCATCTTCTGGCACTATACCAGACAATGTTCTGCTGTTATTCAGAAGGTCTTCACTGACCAATTTTTTTAGAAGTAGATCACCAGGTTCTTCTTCCTATTCTGTCTTAGTCTAGAAGCTCTGCTAAAACCTGTACACCATGGGTGACCCTGCTGGTATTTGAAATACTAATGGCATAGCTTCCAGCATCACAGCAACAGGCAAGCCATCACAGTATGACAAACTGACAGGTGAGTGGACCTTGCCAGATGGAATACATAGGAATCAAACTGACTACATCTGTGGAAACAGACAGTGGAGAAACTCAATACCGTCAGTCAGAAAAAGACCAGGGGCCGACTGCAGAAGTGACCATCAATTGCTCATATGCAAGTTCAACTTGAAGCTGAAGAAAATGAAAACAAGTCCACGAGAACCAAAATACAACCTTGAGTATATCCCACCTAAATTTAGAGACCATCTCCAGAATAGATTTGACACACTGAACATTAATTATTGAAGACCAGAAGAGTTATGGGATGACGTGAAGGACATCATATGTGAAGAAAACAAAAGGTCATTAAAAAGACAGGAAAGAAAGAAAAGACCAGAATGGATGTCAGAAGAGACTTTGAAACTTGCTCTTGAACATAGAGTAGCTAAAGCAAATGGAAGAAATGATGGCACAAAAGAGCTGAATAGAAGATTGAAAAGGATAGCTCAAGAAGACAAAGTAAAGTATTATAATGAAATGTGCAAAGACCTGGAGTTAGAAAACCAAAAAGGAAGAACACACGCTGCATTTCTCAAGCTGAAAGAACTGAAGAAAAAATTCAATCCTTGAGTTGCAGTGTTGAAGGATTCTATTGACAAAATATTGAACAACTCAGGAAACATCAAAAGAAGATGGAAAGAATACACAAAGTCACTGTACAAAAAAGAATTTTCGACATTCAGTCATTTCGGGGGTAACATATAATCAAAAACCAATGGTACTGAAGGAAGAAGCATAACAGCGATTGTGAGGATGGCACAGTACCGGACAATGTTTTGTTCTGTTGTATATAGAGTTGCTATAAGTCAGAACTGACTTGATGGCACCTAACAACAACAACAACATAACACTTCAAGCAAAGCATGTGGTTCATAGGCAAGTACTTGTTGAATAAATAAGTTTGTTGATACAAGTCTTAGTTATCTAGCTCTGCGATAATAGAAATACCACAAACGGATCGCTTTAACAAAGAAATTTTTTCTCTCACATTCTAGGAGGCTAGAAGTCCAAATTCAGGGTACCAACTCCAGCGGAAGGCTTTCTCTCTCTGTAGGCTCTGGAGGAAGGTCCTTGTCATTGATCCTCCCTGGTCAAGGAGCTTCTCAGCACAGGGACCCCAGGTCCAAAGGACGCCCTATTCTCCTGGCTCTTGTTTCTTGGTGGTATTAGGTTCCCATGTCCCTCTACTTGCTTCTCTCTTTTATATCTCAGAAGAGATTGGTTTAGGACACAGCCTAATCTTATAGATTTAGTGCTGCCTCATTAACAAAACTGCCACTAATCCCACCTCATTAACATCCTAGAGGTAGGATTTACAGAACATAGGAAAATCATATCAGATGACAAAATGGTGGAAAGTCACACAATACTGGGAATCATGGCCTAGCCAAGTTGACACATATTTTGGGGGGGACACAATTCAATCCATGACAATATAGTACAAGAATGTAATTGACACACTTTATTAACAACTTTCTAAGTTTTTACCTATCTCAGAAGCTACTCCTCAGTGTTTAGTTATCCAGGAGGCAAATAAAGACATAAAGCCACCTCATATTCTGAAATAATTTGATATTTGATACTTTTAAAATACCAATGTTTTTAATCACAGAAAAGATCAAAGAAGTTTGTTGGATATCCTAATACTTATTTTAGTTTTTTGTTTTATTTTGTTTTAATATGTATGGAAAAGGGTACACTAATGCTTTCATGCTTAGCATTTTAAAACTTAAGCAGTTCTTCATAACTGGAAGCTTAAAAGAAGAAAACTGTTAACCACTTGGGATGGCCTCAGGCCATGAGGAGTTTGGTTAGTGTTAGTAATCCAGCTGGTTTCTACATTTCCATAAACATGTTTATCAAGTATTTTACCTGAATTTATTAAATAAGAAGGGAAAAAAAAATAATTTCAGTGACCAGTATTAACTGTCAGTGCTTCTGGAAAGCACCTGTGTGTGTGTGTGTGTGTGTGTGTGTGTGTGAGTGTATGCTGAATTTGTAAATCCTAACGGTACAAAACTAAATGATAGACAGGACATACCCTCTGTCCAAATCCAGGACCACAGAGATAAGTGGCAGAATGTTTTCTATGCAGTCTGAACATATTGTCTGACTCTAATATTAATCCTAAATAATTTACTTGCCATTCTCATATTTAGGAGTTTTTTAGCTCATCATGGGTAGGCAACACAATGTTTCCTGTTAAAACCAAGATGTATAAACATCCTTCTTTTTGTTTTGTTTTTCAGAGCCTTGCATTTTATCTTTTGTTGAAATGGAAAAGAATAATTTACTCCTAAAATGGAATTTTGACAACAGACCGTATATTTTCCATGGCGAGTATGTTGAGTTTCTTTGTAAAGGAGCTGCTTATCTAGCTGTGTCATCTATTATAGGATCTGAAATGAGAGTGCAATGTGACAGAGGACAGTTAAAATACCCAATGTGTATTCAGAGAGAAAGGTAAGAAGAGGCTTGCATCTACTACTTTTTTTTTTTTTTTTTTGTCAGATTGTTATTCAAGAGATTCATTACATTATAAATTTCAGAAATAGTAGGCTCTATAGCACACTTGGAAACCCTGGTGGCGTAGCGGTTAAGTGCTATGGCTGCTAACCAAAATGTCGGCAGTTAGAATCCACCAGCCGCTCCTTGGAAACTCTATGGGGCAGTTCTACTCTGTCCTGTAGGGTAGATATGAGTCAAAATCAACTCCACGACAACGGGTTCTTATAGCACACTTACTTTATGGTTTTGGAAACACACAGAATTCATATTTTCTTTCTTTTTCAAAAATCCAAGCGAACTCCTAGAATTATAAATTAATTTAACAAACTTTCTAAGTTGTCTGAAGTTAAAGTACTGTTTGTCAATTGATACTTTGGCAATTGGGTAAATTCATTGATTTACATGTGAAGGATATTTACATGTGGAAGAGTCAACCTATGTGTTCTGAGACAAGAAGATTACATTTCTTCCTCTTCCCAGTATAAATTCCTGCATAACTAATAAGTGTTGGTAAAACAACTGTACAAACCTTTGTCCTGACATGAGCATATTAATAAGTGATAAAAATTATGGTATTTGTTTTCATAATCACACTTGTATATATGAGTTTAGAACAACTTACTGCAGTGTTCCTCATATGACAATTTTTAAAATATATTTTCTACTAACTGATGAATGGAAAATATTCCTGTTCTTTTCTTAGAAAAATAATAAAAGAATTCCATATGTAAATTGTTTTATACAGTTTTAACCCTTTTGAATATATTACATAAAATAGAAATTATACTCTATATTCAACTACAAATATTTAAAAATAACTAATGGCAAAGTGTATATGGTACTGTTTTAGTAATTGTAAAAATGAACTGTATTAACTACATTAAAACAGCTTCTTAGGTACTTTGACACTCTAGGAAAAAATATTCATAAAATACACATGAGTACAAAAATTTATATGTCATTTTAGTAAGTTTTAGTATATCATGGTGTCCTCATTTCTAAGAGAAAAAGGAGTAAACAGACAAAGATTGTTAAAAAAAAAAAGAGGAATAGTAAAGGTTTAATAGATTCTATATGTAAACAAGGATAAGACTTATTCCTATCCACCCGACTGTAGTAAATGACACTGAGTTTTTAAAAAGGAATGGGTGGTATTATTTACAAAGTATGGTTACTTTCTTTTATGAGTACCTAGTTAAAACAATTACTTTTTAAATGAAATGTTGAAGGTCTGAAATTAGAATACTTGACCAGAAACAATTCTTGTTTTAAAATCTCTCTCTCTCTCTTTAAATCAAGGATTCTGTCTTTTCAAGAACACTTAAGGACATAAAATAATGGCAGAAAGAATAATATTTCGACACATCATAAAATCCTTTAAAAACATAATTTTTAGAAGAAAATGTTGAGTTAAAAACCCATACATTTTTAATTGCTTGAAGAATTTAATATAAATTGTTTATGCTGACCATTTCCTTTATTTTTAAATAAAAGCCAAAAAATGTTGTTGTTTCATTTCTAGTTTGGATGATTTGGGATGTAACTTAACCTTTATTGCATGCCCTCAATTTGTTAAATATTGATCAATGTATTTTTGTTTCCTTAATGCCCATTTACTGGACTATATTGTTGTTTTCAATATATGTAAAAATACATTGCATTTGTTTCTATCATCTGCATTAATATTAGAGTTTTCTATTATTTTTAATTGATGTCAACATTAAAGAACAAAACACACTAGAGACAAGACACTGCATAATGTTAACAGTTGTACTTTATTAAATGCAGAGCTGACTGCTCTTCAGCCTTTCTAAATGTGAACTACTTTTTTCACAGTGGATCCAGAAAATTGAAATTTGATATAAATTGACTATCAGTAGAAAATCATCAATCTTTTTCAATCAATTTATCAGCCAATTGATTAATGAATATTTATTGAGCAGCTGGTATATTCCAGGACACGTGGTAGGTAATACAGGATTCAAAGATGAATAAAATTCAGCCCATTATTTCAAGGAACTCATAATCTAGTAGAATAGGCAAACATGCACTCATGGTTACAAATTCAAATACCTGAAGATCCAGGCATGTTACGTGGATGATGAGTGTGGAAGGTCTAGTGGTATTTCTGGTGCCACGCTCTGTTTAATGCGGACAGCTACTTCTTTGCTTAAAGTGAATAATTGTCATGTGGGAATATGCACCAAGTTTTGCCATATATTCTAATTTGTCAATCATGAAATCTACTGACTTTTATATATGATATTAAGAACTAAAAATAAATTCTACCGGCAAGGGTCCAATGGGACTCACAAGCTTCCAGTTTCGTAAACTTCAAATGCTAAATAAACAAAGTGTAGTAAATTCAACATGGAAGCATAGATTAGGTAAAATGGTGGCACAGGGGAGACAGCAAGTAACTTTTTTTGGTGTGATTGGGGCATGGAAAGCCACCTGGAAAAAATAAATCTGAGATTTACAAGCCTAGAAAAGACATTCCAAGTTCAGAGAAAAGTACATGCAAAATCATGTATTTATTGAGCATATACCATGTACTAGGCATTATGATAGGACTGGAGATACAGCAATGAATAAGACACATACTGTTTCTGTCCTTATGGTGCTTGTGTTCTTGTGAGGAAGAAAGATATTAAACAAATAAGATGATATGATATGATATGATTTTCTTGGCAATAATCTTCACTGGAGAAGATTGACAGGTCTTTCTCCCACGGAGCCACCAGATATCTTCGAATTGCCAGCCTTTCGGTTAACAGCTGAGCACTTAATAATTTGTGCCAACAGGATTCCTTTTGGGTATTATTTATTATCTTGAAAGGAGCAATGTCATTAAATGAGAGACTGGAGCAGGTGGAGAAATAAATATAAAGTGAAAAACAGAGACATAAATGTAATCAACTTGTCAATAAGTATGACAGTGACAGAGGGAAATATAAGGTGGTGTGGAGGTAGAGACAGAGATAAAGGAGGTCTTTTTAAACAAAATGGGAGAAATTTGAGCATGCTTAAATTAAATGGGAATGGGTCAGGAAAAAGGACAGGTAGAAGACAGGAAAATATTGCACAATAGATTGCAGAGGACTCCAAAAAAAGTGGGAAAAGGTGGAAGACAAGACACAAGTGGAGGGATAGCCCTTGGATGGGAGGAGGGACTCGTTTTGTGACCGGAATGAGGTCATTCGTCTCATATGGTTTCTATATCTTCTATGAAGGAGAAGTCAACCTGCTGAGAACATGTAGGGATATATGGGGGAGAGAAGTTAAAGGATTGAGGAGATTGGAGAAAGTTTGAAAGAATCATATAGAGAGTGAGAAAGTGAGGTGATGGTAGAAGTAAAGGATTGCTTTACTTGACTAAGGATACTATTAAAAGATTAATACGAAGAAACTACCTGAAAAAAGAAGCACAGGCCAGAAAGGTGATTAGGCACACTGTAACAGTTTTATTGAATTATCCATTCAATTAGATGTGTGAGGTGTTGAGGATAATGTTAAAATGATTACTATTTTTCTTTGTAAAGAACTCTATGCTGTGGGATGATGTTGATCCATATGAGTATGAAAGCAAGCTTTGCTTAGATGATGTGCCATCTTTGTAATATAGGAGCACTAAGTTAAAGATTGGAGCCTTGGTGGTGTAGCAGTTAAGAGCTCAGCTGCTAACCAAAAGGTCTACAGTTCGAATCCACCATTAGCTCCTTGGAAATGTTATGAGGCAGTTCTACTCTGTCCTAAAGGGTCACTATGAGTTGGAATCGATTCGGCAGCAACGGGTTTGGTGTTTTTAGAAGTTAAAGATCAAAAAATCACTAACACGGCAATTGCCCTGGGGTATTCCAAGGCTTAGGAGGGCTCTGACTGCTTCTGCACAGAGAAACTTTTAATTTTTCAAAGGGAAATTAAGAATTCATAGATAAGTGTGATTTTTTCATTTTAAAAAAGGATCAAAACACTGGAGAACATTATACATCAAAACTGAATTCAGGGAGCCCCGCATGATTCCTTTGGAGGAAAATTGGGGTGTGAAAAGTCTAACCAAAACTGACAAGTAGCTTACCTAATTCATATTTTCTCTCAAATATAAATTTAAGACTAGTTATTAGACAATAGTCAAAGTTTCAATATAACAGGTGTTTTAATTTTTTTTTTTACCTACTTTCAAAATAATTCATGAAAGAAAATTCAGTAAATATTTTTACAAAACCTGTTCAAAACCCATTGCTCTCGAATTGATTTCGACTGACTCATATTTACATAGTGTCATTCAATTATTCTATGACCAAATATTTCGAGAATCATATTATTATTTTTGTCAAATATAAGAACAACTCATAGACATTGTAAGACAGTTCAAACAATACAAATGTAAATAGGATGAAGAATGAAAATTCACTTAATTCTCCCCAGCACCCCAAGTGTACATCCTTAGTCCAGAGATAAGCAGTTAAGAGTTTTCCCTGTGTATTTCCAAATTTAAATATGCACACTTAAATATGTACTCATATATACACATCTATATTTTTACATATGTATTTGTACATATATATTAAATGGTATCATATTGTATATATTGTTCTAGGACTTGCATCTTTTTGACTTAACAATATATGATAGACCCATCACCATATCAATACACATGGATTTATCTCATTCTTCATAATAATAGAATAGTATTTTATAGGCTAGACTTTTCAATTGTTTTATTTTCATTGCTTCCTCTCTTTCTCCTTTTTTTCCCTTTTCTTTCTTCATTATTTCTTTCATAGGTTGTAGGTTGAAGTTAAATAATATAATTAAAAACTAAAATGAAATAGTATAAGTCTAAACATATTTAAAAATACAAATATAAATACCAAAAAAAGATCTTAACATTGAACAAAATTGGATGATGGAGAAGAGCAAGGGAATGAGAAGGAAGAAGTTGTAAGCTAATTTTATAGTTTCTCATGATAGGGACAAACAGACATTACTGAAAACATGCGGGACAAAGGATATTACTAAAAGATATTAACACAAAGAAACTACCAGGAAAAAAAATTCTTTCCTAAATAGCAAAATAAATATAAGAACAACAAAAACACTATAATGAACAAAGAAAACAAACCATATAGTGAAAACCTTTGGAAGAAAACTATACACACACATACACTGTAGACAAAACAAACTACAAAAGAACTTAACTCACCTATTATAAGAGAATTCTTTCTCATTGGCTCACAAAGCAAATGCTGCATACAAAAGACACAGCTAAAACTAACTTTTTCAGAGTACTTAACAAGAAAAGAAGGTATAAAAGTATACCAGGCAAATTCAAGCAAAAAGAAAACAAGGGCCACAGTCTTGACAAGGTGGAAATCCTGCCGCCTTGACATAAATGAGCCAAAAAAGGATTTTTTCTAAAGTTTCAATTGCAAACCAAAAACCAAACACGTTGCCATCGAGTCGATTCCCACTCATAGTGATCCCATAGGACAAAGGACAACTGCCCCATAGGATTTCCAAGTAGTGGCTAGTGGATTCAAACTGCTGACCTTTTGGTTAGCAGCCAAATTCTTAGCCACTGTGCTGACAGGGCTCCTCGAAAGAAGGCACAATTCACTTGTAAATATCTATGTACCAGTTAATACAGCAGCAAATTGTGTAAAGCAGAAACTATATAAAACAGGTAACAAGAGGACAATCTAATATGCTTTTTAGTCCAAAATACTTCAAGTGAACAAAATCTAAGCAAAGGATATATAAAAATCCAAACAAATAATCATTAAAGGGTATCCTATGGATATATGTCAACTCTATACCCTTATACTAAAGAATATACTTTATTTACCAGTGCACATGAAACAGTCATGAAAACTGACTGTACAGATTTGGCCATAGGGAAAATCTAATTAAGTTTCAAATAGTAGATAAATATTAACTACATTCTCTGATCAAAGTGCAACAAATTTAAAACTTAAACAAAATAAAAAAGACCCTTCTTCTTTAAAATATGCAGACTTTCTATTAAATAAATAACTCTTGGGTCAAAGAGGAAATATAAACCAAAATGACTGAATTTCTAGAAAACAATAATGAAAGCATTACATATCAGAACTTATGAGATATAGCTAAAACAGTGTTCAGAGTAAAATTATTAGCTCTAAAAATATTTCTATCAATTCATGTAAAAATAATAAATAAATTAAATATCCAAACCAAAAGCTAGGGAAAGAACAATAAGAAGACAAAGACAAAAAGGAAGAAATTAATGCGAATAAATACAGAACTTAATGAGCCAGGAAGCATAAAAAAAGTAAATAAAAAAACTTTTTTAAGAGGCGGGGCCAAGATGGCAGAATAGTTGGGTGCTTCGTGTCATCCCTCTTACAACAAAGACTCCCCCAGAA